TTGATTTCCTTGCCGTTACCATTTTTTTTTTTTTTTTGCAGCCCTCTTTTGCTTTGTTTTTCCTCATACCTTTTCATAGTGTTTGCTTTAGGTGTAGTCTGTGGCTATGTGTCCACACTGCAATCAGTCAATGTGGTCATACATGCACACTCAAAGCTAGTTCATGGGTCAGTGGCAGTAGGGTGGGTACGGCCCTGGAGCAACTGCACCCGCCCCGTTGGACCCTTTCCAATCATACACTGCGGGATTGCACGCTGGGGGGGGGTGCCCTTCTCCCCATCTTGGGTCTCTTGATGGGGAAGGAGTTAACAGGCTAGGACCATTCAGTGTGGGAAAGAGGCAGTGGTGGTTTGTAACGGGGGCTGAGAAGGCTGTGAGTTGCATGGTGGAAGTAAGCTGGCATAGCTGTTGACTGTCTCCTCTACCACAAGGACGGGGGCCGTGAGAGAAGTTACCAAGCAGCAGCTTCAAAGCCCGAGAAGCTTCCTTCCCCTACAGTGTATCATCCAGCTGAGGAGCTCCTGCCCGCAGGATGCAACAGATACTGGCAGATTCCTCAAGTTCAAAAAGGAGGCAATTTCGTTAAAGAAAAAGCTGCTGTCTGGAAGAAGTGACACAGTGGAGACCTTTCTTTGTGATTTCTTGCACAAAATTCTAAAGAAGAACCTTATCATGAGTCATTTTAGTCCAACACATAACGTAATCTTATTTCAGTGTTTCTAGCGTAACAGTTGTACCAGAGTTGAGGGTCAAGTGGTCACAGTACTGCAATCCCAGGTTCAACTTTACACATAGTTGCTACCTATATCTAGTCTGGTTTTGCAATTTTGCCTGTTAACGTCTCATCTAGGGAAGAAGAAAGGGGTCTTGAAAAATAACCAGAAAAGATATTTTAACATGATTGCATTTTGGCTTGCTGTTAAAGCAGCTCTGTATTTTTCAAGATGGGCTGGCCTAAAACCTCAATTTCCTGTGATGACCACAGGAATTCTCTTTCAGGGCAGAGAAAGTACTGTGCAAGAGCATTTTGCCCAAGTAGGGGTCACAAGGCCATAAGCCTACATTTGGTATATGTGTAGTTGTAGCCTCTGTGTCGTCTTCGTCTTTGCCTTGCCTTTGCCTCTCAGGAGCAGATTCCCTGGGTGGTGCTGGGTTGGGCACAGAGCTATATGGTTCTCATTCCTTCTGGAGGTACATGCCCAAAGCCAGTTGCCTACATCCTTAACTTTAGGTCCAAACACCCTCTTTCAAGCTCCAGTGAGAAGGAAACAGTGGGATTTCTGTAACAATTTTATTGGCATCAATCACTTCTCTGGTATTTGCCTGTGAGAAGCTCATAGCTGGGACCAGACAGCTTGGAATCAGTTAAGATCTGGGCTTGGCCACCTTGCAACAACCCCTGAAATCCAATTGCCTGCCACAAGTTGGCTCATGTAAGATTAGAAGAGAACCTGCCTGCTGGGAAGATGGGCTGCCCTCGGGGCATAGCTAACAGGCCACTGTCACGGCCCATGGTTGGTGTATGTGAGTGAGAAGTGATGAGATCGACGCTCCTTTCAGATTAACAACAGCACAACACACCAGGTTCATTACGTGGATGAGATGTGTCTCACTATGAGGAAATTCTTAATGACCAAGATACAAGGGGAGATACAAGGCAATGAGGGGAGGACCAACGTAGCACCTCAAATAAGGTCCAGCTCAAAAGAGATGGACCAGGCCCTCGGCTATTCTCTGTCTGTGCAGGTTTTTTTTTATCTTTTTATCCACCCCAAGACTTCTCATTACTTATCATTCCCTAGGCTGTGATACACATACTAGATGGTACACATGGGAGCAGTCCTGCTGTGGTCAGCGGAAGGCACCTTCTTGCCATGATGCCCCTCAGGACCCAGACATGGGCTGGATGTGTGCATACCTTGGGGCATGCATCGCTTACCCCTTGGCACCTCGGAGCAACTTTGCAGGGCAACTGGAAGGATTAGTTCACCTTCCCAGAGTGCCAAAAAGGAAACCTGTAGTGCCTTTGATCTATGGTTTATTTTGAGTGTTACTCTGACTGGACAGATTCAAAAAAAAAAAGACAAACCAGAAGCAACGTGAAGCCTTAGATGGTTATAAAAAATGTCGGTCGGTGCACTACTATTATAAAAGGCGACTTTTCCATAACTAGACATGGGGTTGCAAGTGAATAAAACTGTAAGGCTAAGGATTGGGTTGCACTTCATGTCTTTCCTACTTGGCATTGGTATCTGTGGTCATACTCTGGAAGTTTTGCTTGTTCTTGTCTCTTTTGATACACAAAATAAACAAAACCTGAGACAAAGGGCAAGCTTGTAAATAGGGGAGCAGCCCCTGGGGAATTTTTATTCTATTAGTTTGCATTTTATTACCTTTTTATTCCAGGTGATAAGGTGACTTCCCTTGCAGCAGATAGATGCAGGTAAGGCTGATAGCCTCTGGTGTCTGATTTTGCATGAGCTGCTGATGTTATTTGCAATAGGCTGGAGATTTCCTGTGAAAAAGATACCACCTCCTGCTTCTGTTAATTTGAATAGGACACTTTTATGAGATGGACCAAGGTGATTAACTGTGTAAACTGTTTGGGAAAAAAAAATTCAAAAGGGATGGTATTTTTCACAGCTTCATGAAGGAGGAGGGAAAAAAGCCACGTTGCTGAATCACAACTGGCCACTCTGGCCAGCAAAGACAGAAGGAGATTTGGCTGTAGGAAGGACAGAGATCACATGCTGCCAACATGAAACAAGCTGAAACCATGCCTTTGAAAAACATTCCTGCAGTTTAAGTTGAAAACCCTTTTCTCAGACCTTGCCAGCAACTTGTCCTGGTGGGTATTGCCTTTCCCCTTTTTGTACAAGCCAGGGGAGAAAGCTCATGTAAGAGTGTTGTACCCTATGCCAAATTTAGTGCCCCAGAGTTGAAATCCTGCCAGTGCATAGAAAAAAATAATGGGAGCAGGCAAGACCAGCAGCTGCACAAAGTGAAAGGAGAACTGAAAGCGCGATGCTGTCTAGCAGTATAAACCAAAAATTCCAGTATAGAGTGAAAAGGTCAACCACCCTCCAAGATGAAGTAGGTTCATGGCAGGGAAGAACCCACGCTCCTCTAACATCTACCTTGAATGTATGCTGTTGAAATCAGCCTTTTGCAAAACCCTATCGGACTGGAAATGTGACTGTCCCTGGTGACTACATGCCCTGCCTCCACCACTGACCCTCCGGCATGGATCTACGTAAAATTTTTTCAAGAGCAAAGCATTACTAAGATCAACCCATTCCTATTTGCAAAAATCTGTGGGTTTTGCTGCAGGACTACTGTGTCAACACAATTTAAGATGCCTCTTACCAAGAATGGAATGAGACATATATGACAGGTTGAGACTGGGATAGAAAGCTATTCTCAGTGCTTTCAGATGAAGTGGATTACTCTGCTGCTGCAATTAAGTGGAAACCAGTAATACACATTGTAAATGTTCAGATTACATGTATTATTTGTTATGCTATTGTACCATCATTCCAGGTATACGTTACTTCATCCCGTGCCGGTTCTAAACAAAAAAGTCTTTCACCTTCCAGGAGGAAAGAAATGCAGAGTAAAAGCAACACTGAAAGGTAAACTGGGGTTGTAGTGGGTTTTTCAACAGTGAAATATGCACTTACCAGCACATTGTCCGGTGCTGAATGGTGAGTGATGCTCCATCTACTAAGAATGTTGGTGGTTCAGATGTTCATACAGATGTCCTGCAAGATTATAGATGGGTACTGAACCCTTGGTACCCTGGAACGCACTAGTCATACTCTCGAGCAAGGACACCCACCATATACCTGCCCGCAAGCAGTGACATGCCCGAAGGGTGGGATCTGCTAACGCAGCACCTAGCTTGCCCCCACATTTCAGCACCGAATGAAACCGTCCTCCTAAAGTCAGTACCTACGTACCTGAATTGATGGAGAAAAGTTGGTGCCTTTGAAGGCTTCCACAGGGAGATCTTGTTTAGAGAGATCCTACATTTAGATGCACCAGCCTTGCAGGTGCACGGCTGAATCCTACCTTGCTGGACCCTGGGCTGCTGCCCTGAAGGGAGTCATCAGGGGGCTGAGACTGCTCCTGTGGTTGAGCCGTCTCTTCACTTTGGGGTATCTGGGGACAAGTTTTTATCTCTTTCTGGCCACTCTGCCCATGTCACTGTTGGCCTGTGCCACCAGGTCTCCCCTCCGTGGGGTAGACTCCATCTTTGGTCAACCCTGAGGTCCAGGGTGGCAGTGGGGCACGTGGGGTCCAGCCACCTCCTGGGCAGAGACCTTTGGTACAGCTGTGAGCAAAGAGCAGCCAGAGAATGGCTCCTGATCCACCATGTTTCTTGCTCCTCCTGGACATGGCCTCTTTCTCATCTTTCCCACCCGGTGCTCCCACCGGGCTATCTCCCCTGGCACCCGCATGACCACGTGGGGAGGGGGCCAGCACCAGGGACCTTGGGCTTTCGAACCCACGTGTGTAAACGCTGGATTTTAGCCCCCAACACCAAGTGTTTCTGTCCCAAATGTGATGATAAAAATCTCATTATCTTCAAAGAAAATCACACTGGCCCTAATGGGGAACTCTGTTTTCCTAATGATTAAATGTTTGTGGGCTGCCTCGTAAAGTTAGTCCTTGGGTTGCAGTCCTGGTAACCTGGATGTTAGGGCATAGGTGCGTTCTTGTTACTCACCTAGCCCATATTCGTCAGTGTTTGTCAGTGAAGGGTCTGTCCACTTATCATCTGATTATGCAAATCCACCTTCCATGGGAGTTGGGATTTAAGTTTCGCTAGTTTTCAGGGTCTGACTATGTGCAGAGTGAGTTATAGTCTTTTTTTTTTTTTTTCCCACAGGAACTTCCTTTCTCTAAACACCACCCCTTGGCAGTGGACCTGCTGACACCTCAGAGCAAGACACATAAAAGGGCAGCCCATCTTCCTTCTCCATGCTCAGAAGCAAGTGGCAGAGGCTACTCAGGAGCTCAGAAGCTGCTGGCATCTCAGGCACCTCAGGCTGAAACACCGGCAAGAGCCATGAGCAACAAAGCTGGTGAGTTTTTAATGCTCAATACGATAGCCTATGTTAGATGTGTAGTGTGGCAGGTCTCCTGTGGGGAGGATGGCAGCTCCAGTGGAGGTGGAGGGTTTCTCACCCCTCTGACTGCTGTGGGTGCCACCCTGGGGAAAGGTGTTTCGGTGCCACCGCTGCTCACGGGGAGGGGCGGGCCGGGAGAGGGGATAGGTTTGCTCTGGCTGTGCAAATTCTGGTTTTGACAGATCAGTAGACCAACTGGAAAATGCAACCCACTTCTCATCACTTTTCGTCGGCCTGTAGACATCTGGCTCTATCGGTGAGAACAGGAGAGAGACACAGCTTTTCTAAACTTGTTCTGTGTCAAGGTGAAAGGAATTTCTTTTGAGCTACTTAATGGCATAGATTATTGCTCTTTAGTGATTGCTGATACCATCTGATGATAGAAGTTTCAAAAAAATTGAAAAGGGGATTTATTTGGGCTCTGTCCCACGGCCATCCTGCCTACCCCCCCGCCACTGCTGGCTGTACTCCTGTGGCCAGACCAACCCCAAAATGCCCCAAACCCCTGAGTTTTGGAGTGTAGCTGAGCAGCTGTACAGGGCCCGCAGCAGGGCCCCGAGCAGGTCTCCACAGCCATCATGAGGGGAAGGGTGTCCCAACACTGCTCCGAGCCCCCCTCCATTTCACAGCAGCGTACAGGATGAGGAGTAAATGCAGGTGTCCAAATTTTGCTCTCTATGCAAAACTACAGTTCTCATCCCGCTTCCCTCCTGTCCTTCTGAGCAGCCCTTATTCCCACTGAAGGCAGGCATGCTATAAACTCTATGCTCCATGTTAATATTTTTTTTAAAACCCATCACCTCATCCTCATGGAAAAAAAGGCCCCAGAACCTTACCAGTGCAAAGCCCTGCTTTTGTTCTGGGTGATCGCTGTGCTCCTGAAGCTCTGAACATCTTCCTGGGAAGGCAGCATGCCATGGGGCCAGCGGGTTAGTGCCGGAAGGAGCTCTAGAAGGAGAAAGTCATGGAACCGGGAGATAAAAGTAAAAATTCCTTCTAAAAAAAGGAAAAAGTTGGCTGCCAGGATTTGGGTTTGCTTCTGGCCCACCCCAGGAGCAAGTGCAGCCAGGGCTGCTTCTTGCAGCTTGAGCCTCTGTCCCATGAGTGGGTGCATTCTCGGCGTGCTCAGCTCTGCTATAAATCATTAATTCCTGTGTTGGCAAACTGCGGTGCCTGCAGCCAGCTGGACACAGGGTGTGCGGGCACCCAGCCCCGTGCCCGGGGGCAGGAGGCAGAGCGGGAAGCCCGAGGCAGCACCTGGGGTCTGCCCGGGGAGCGCGGGCTGCAGCCAAGACCCCTCCGACGCGTGACAGGCACGCCGCCGGCTGGCTCTGCAGTGTTTCATGGAGGGGGAGAGCGTGCCAGACAGATCACGGAGCATTACAGGTGTGTTTGCACAGGGGCAAGTGCAGTGCGATCGACGGGCAGTGCTTGCAGGGATGGGTCTTTGGTGCCATGCTCTGCGCTGTCAGGGCATGTTCCGAGGCAGATGTTCCTTGTGGTTCTTCTCTGTGCATCCTCAGCATCGGTGATGTCCAGAAACAGGGGGTGGAAACGCAGTCCCTAGGATTCCCCAGGATTCCCACAGCTGTCCCATGCATTTAGCTCCCACAGCCTCCCAAACCCCTCTCCCATCACCAGGGCTGTTTCCTGATAGCTTCTCAGCCTGGCGCCAGGGCTTCCATAAGGAAACAAAGTCAAGCAGTTTTGGTGGCTGGAGATTTGTTAATGCTGAGGAAGGCTCACTTCTCCTTCATCCTTTTTGAGAGGGTTAAGCAATTTCAGCTGAATTTTTTTTTGACATATACACACATACATACACCCTGTTGCGCAAAAGCGTCAGCCTGAGGTTGGCATCTGGCAGGCAGCAAGCAAAGAAAAAGCATTCAAAGTGAAACCAGTTACTGAAAGGTGATGGTCAATTTTAAATCTATTTGCTGATAGCTGCTATGTAATTGAGATAAATATGGTTTGTACAGTTACTAATAAGAAATACATGGGGGTAGTAATCTGGTGGGGATCCATGGGCAGCAAGTTCGGTTTCCTCATGGCCGCAGCTGCTGCCTAGCACAGGTCGCAGTGGGAAGCGTGCCGCTGGCTTCAGCCCTGGATCCGTCCCTGCCTGTGGCACCTCTCATGCCACAGCAGCTACCAGAGGATTTCAGCCTCTGAGATGTTAGGGATGGCTCTTGTCAATGCTCGAGTTAGCACAGTTGCCCGGTACTGCATGAATCTGTCACAACATTTTTGCCAGAGAGAAATATCCTAGATAAAATCCCAACAGTGAGGTTTAGTTTTTAAGCTACCCTGTAGCTAGCTGGGGACCACCTGGGAGCATCACATCGGAAGGTGCCTTGGCAAGCAGTGCTTCCTTCACCTATCCGTATTACTAGTAGTAGTAGTAGTATTGCTGCTGCTGCTACTATTACTGCTACTGCTGTTGTTGTTTAATACCTGCAGTAACAAAGAAGCATTTGTAATACTCAAGGAGCTGATGCACCACGTGCTCGGCAAGGCACAGGCACGCAGCAAATGGGAGTTGCTGTCACAGCCTTGGCTTTGACCAGGTGCCACCAGCAAAGCAGCTGAGCAGATGGGGGCACGGAGGAGAGGGCTTGGAGACATGGCAGGACCACGGGCACTGCCCACGGGGATGCTGTGGGGGTCAGGACCTTTGGTGGGCTCCCATGCAAGATGCTCAGGGGTGCGGAGCTGCCCTGGAGCAGCTGCAGGGATGGGAGGCAGATGGGCTCTCTCCACTCCACTTTTGAGGGGGAAGCAAGACTTTCGCAGAAGCAAGACTTTCAGTATTGCAATAAAACTTGCCATCTTCCTGGCATGCAGCAGGCTGCAGAGCTGGCTCCTGGCTGCTGCCCCCCCAGCCAGCTGGCAGCATGCAAGGGCAGGCAGTGGGCCAGCAGACGTGGATTTCCAAACCAGTGAGATCCCACTCACCACCCTTTGGCTGCTGAGGAAGCAGCCCCAAGGGCACGCAGTGGGTAGCTGCCCATGCGCGGAGGTGCTAGGATGCGGGCTGGATGCCTGGCTGCCTCATGCTATGTCTTCTACTGCTCCTACCTCCCTCAGGCTGCTTACTCACCCAGGACCACCTCAGAGGTCAAGCATCCCTCAGACTCCCTGAGGGGGTGGGGAGGAAGGGTGGCAGAGGCACGCCACAGCAACCCAAGGCCAAATAGTCAGGGGGTGAGGCAGGCTCTTGCCCCTGCTCTGGGCGGATTGCTGCACCACGCTCACCACCACCACCCTCCAAAATCCATCCCAGCAATATGACTCTCTCTATAACTCTATATATGTATCTTAAGGGTTTATATTATTATGTTATATTAATAATATATTCTATATATTATATTACATTATATTGAATGATATTACATTATATTGCATTATATTATATTATATTATTTATAATATATATCTATTATCTATATCTATATCTATCTATGTGTATATAGAGCTCTCTCACCTGTTGTACCATCCATTAGCTTTGGCGATCCTTGGTATGATTCCTTGTGCTAGACCACTGGACACTTAGATGTTTTGATGACCCACAGGGCTCCATTAAGAAGACAAAAACTGACTTTACTGACCAATTAACCATCAAGCCCATTTTCTTTCTTTCTTTCTACCTCTCTGCTAATGGCTTTCCAGGGACCGATCTGACAGTCACTGGGATTGACTTTCTCAAGAGCCAGAACTCCAGCCTGCACCACACGGATGCGTACAACATCGAGAACCTGGTGGTGCGACGTGGGCAGGACTTTCAGCTCCAGCTCAGCTTCAGCAGGGAGCTGAAGGATGCCGACAAGCTGGTGCTGCATTTCGGCATCGGTAAGCGGGTCCCCCCTCTGTGGCCGTCAGGCAAATGGGGAGAGCCCTCTGGCGGCCTGTTCCAGATGCCCAGCAACTGTGCGGTCATTGTAGACCCATGCAACCCTCCCGCATCTCATGTTGGGTTTGCTTCCAGGTGAGAAGCCAAATAAAACCAAGGAAACCCTGATAGCGCTGAATGCGAGGCAGAAGCGGGACGTCAGCGGGTGGCAAATCTCCATTGTCAAGAACAGCGGCAAAGAGGTACAACCCGCAGGCCATGCTCCCATACAGGGCATAGAGCAAATCCCTGTAGCCCCATCCCGCTTTCCATTAGCCCTGTAATTTTAGGTGGGCAGCAGCCCTGCCCCGTTTAATTCATTGCTCCTCCACCTCGCACGCAGGACGCACCCCATCCCTCTTCCCCCATGTGCAGCCATGTGGCCACCACCTTTGGTGCTCGTGCTGTGCTTCCACTGTGCCTCTGGCCATGGTGGGCGGTCCATCATGCCGCCTCTTCTTGTTGCCTCCCCAGTGCCTGCTGTCTGTCACCAGCTCGCCCGAGGCCATGGTGGGAAAATACACCTTGAACGTGAAGACTGGGACTAACATTTACAAGCCCCAAAACAACACTGTCTACCTTTTGTTCAATCCTTGGTGCAAAGGTGAGTGGTCCTCCAATGCGGGGTGGCAATTACAGCTCCCAGAGACTTTTCCTCACATTTTTCCTCCTCTCTTTCCCACATACATAGCTTTTTCTCCCTAAAAGACTACGAGCAGTGTCCTCACGGAGCCAGCGGGAAGCTGGGCAATAGCAATGACCCAGTTCCTCACTTGGGGACCCCCCAATGCCAGGTTAAGGGCCATCTCTCTGTCACCCCTGTTTGCACCTCTGTGCCCCCCCTCGCTGTGTCCCAGGCCACTGCGAATGTTAACTGAGATGACTGGGTTGGCTTAAAAAAAAAAAACAACCAGACAAAAAAAATGTGTGTTGTTTGTTGGCGTCAGTCCCCCAGTTCTCCCTGCTGTCTACCTAATCCACTGATGTGTTCGTTCAGAAAGAAGTGTTTCACCAAAATAAACCAGTGGTCATATAGCAACAGGCCTACAGGAGGAAAATAAAGCTTAGTCTTCTAGGAAATTCTTCCACGATATAAAAAAAAAAATGCGAATGCTGCGTGGTCATCAGCTGGTGCGAATGTCACAGGCCACTAGCTCCCCCAGTTTAGCTTTCCAAGGAAAACTTCATAGAGCATGTGTGCAAACCACATAACATCTCAGTGGTTTTTTTCTCTTCCAGATGATGCCGTCTTCCTGGCTGACGAGGCACAGAGAAGGGAGTATGTGCTCAACGATACAGGCTACATCTATGTTGGGTCTGCATACAGGATATACAATAGACCCTGGAATTTTGGGCAGGTAAAACACAGCTGTCTTGTCAGTGTTATTACCCTTATTTGTTCTTTCTCCCGCAGGCATTCATTTCAATGAATCAGACCTAAAACCAGTTTAAGCCCGCGAGTTGCTCAAAGCACTTCAATAATCCTGCCAGCTTCACTGGGAGGGCTTGCCCGCTTACAGTGATCTGCGCACTTGGGTGCTTTCCCCAGCCACAGCTTTAGAACGGGGTTTAATGGCATGTTTATAACCAGATCGCAAGACCCCTAGCACAGGACATGGCAATTGGGGATGGAACATTTCTGGTTGAAAAGATTCCTGTAAAGGGTCCTCCCAGCTCTCATGCAACGCAGCAGCTGGCGGTGACCAGCTCGTGAGCTGCAGACAGGGGGTGTGGAAAAAGCCATCTGATTGCTTACGTATTGCATTATAGTTTGATTGTTTAATATCTTTATCAATAACCTGTATGAGGGGATTGAGTGTGCCCTCAGTAAATTTGCAGACGACACCAAACTGGGTGGTAGTGTTGATCTGCTTGAGGGGAGGAGGGCTCTGCAGAGAGACCTGGACAGGCTGGATCGATGGGCCAAGGCCAACTGTATGAGGTTCAACAAGGCCAAGTGCGAGGTCCTGCACTTTGGTCACAACAACCCCAAGCAGCGCTACAGGCTCGGGGAAGAGTGGCTGGAAAGCTGCCTGGTGGAAAAAGACCTGGGGTGCTGGTTGACAGCTGGCTGAACATGAGCCAGCAGTGTGCCCAGGCGGCCAAGAAGGCCAATGGCATCCTGGCTTATATCAGGAATAGTGTGACCAGCAGGAGCAGGGAAGTGATCGTCCCCCTGTACTCGGTGCTGGTGAGGCCGCACCTCGAATACTGTGTTCAGTTTTGGGCCCCTCACTACAAGAAAGATGTTACATTGCTGGAACATGTCCCAAGGAGAGCCGCAAAGCTGGGGTTTGGAGAACAAGGCTTACGAGGAGCGGCTGAGGGAACTGGGGTTGTTTAGTCTGGAGAAGAGGAGGCTGAGGGGAGACCTGATCACCCTCTACAACTGCCTGAAAGGGGGCTGTGGCGAGGTGGGGGTCGGCCTCTTCTCCCTGGTAAGAGATGATAGGACGAGGGGGAATGGTTTGAAGCTGCGCCAGGGCAGGTTTAGGCTAGACATTAGGAAAAACTTCTTCAACGAAAGGGTTGTCAGGCTCTGGAATGGGCTGCCCAAGGAGGTGGTCGAGTCCTCATCCCTGGAGGTATTTAAAAGGTGGGTAGATGAGGTGCTTAGGGACATGGTTTAGTGGTGGGATGGCAGGGGTAGGTTAAAGGTTGGAATCGATGATCTTAAAGGTCCTTTCCAACCAAAGTGATTCTATGATTCTATAGTTGGGAAAAAGTAGGGGGAAAGCACTGGCAGAGGTTGCCATTGTTCAAGCGGTGCCTTCACCAACTGTGAGGCGAACTGTTGAGCGCAGGACGCAGCCAGCCGCCCTCACAGGAAGGGTGTTCCTCCATGCTGCCACTGAGACAGCTCCAGCCAAGCGGAACAACAAACTCGCTCGGGCTAGAGATAAGAGATGGATGCCAGAGCAGGTTTATTGGCACCCTGTAGAAAGCACACAGCCACCCAAACGGAGCATCCTGCACCCTATCCAGACAGACTTTCCCACCAAAATACATTTGAATCTGGGGGATTTTTTCTTTTTTTTTCTTTTTTGATTTGTTTTGTTTTGTTTTATAAATCTGCAATTTCAAGCTGCCAGATACAGATAGCCCAGCAAAAGTGCTCACACTGATGCCTTTTCTGCAAAGGGACCAAGGGGCATTGTCCATAGGGCTGTTCCTATCCTAATATTTATTCTGCTGTTAAGCAATGAGAATTGATACTGATATTCTGCCAAGCTTTGTTGGATTGGATGTTTGACATCTCTGTGAACTGGACCTCAGGGAGCTTTATCAGCAATTGCTAATTAGGAATCTTTCACTGTAATAATCTGCCTTTATGTACCCTTTTTTTTTTTCCCCAGGGTTAATTTTGTACCTATGTCAACAGACAGAGTATCTGTAGTACTCTTAAATTTTCATTACTCTTGTGAGTAATTTGCAGGGCTGCAGGGAGATGACGTAGGTGACTTAGGACTACCCACAGGAGTAAAGATTACCAGGTCAGGTTTCCAACTGTGTTTGCAAGGCACATGAGCCAGGCTTTTGTCTTCCAAGGTGGGTTTTCGTTTAAGCCCTTCTTTGGTGAGAACAGCTTTGGGAAGCCCTGTAGGCTCGCGAACTTGACATCATAAGGAAATTTAGAAGTTAGGACTAACCAGACGGTTTCCTCCAAGTACTTAGACAGACTTCGTAGCGATTGAGCAAATTCTGTTTGAGAGCAGCGTGTAAAAATGTCTCCACTTTCTCTCCAAAACAGTTTGAGGAACTCATCTTGGACACCTGCATATATCTGCTGGACAAAAGTAAACTCAAGATAAGCTTTAGAAGGGATCCTGTGCTTGTGTCCAGAGTCATGTCTGCTTTGGTATGCCTCTCTCGGAGAAGTGCTTTGCCCCTCCACCTTTCCCTCCTCCTTCTTCCTTGCTCTTCTTTCCCTGGGGCCTTGAACACCATTTCAGGATGCACCTTTGGGAAACCGCAAGGGAAGAGCCAGAGGCATTTTGGGTGGAGACAAGAAGCGAGCGAAATACAGCATCTCCCCATTTCCAAGGCTTGCAGCTGCCCCAATGATTGTCCTTCCTCAGCAGCCACGTTGGCAGGGCCAACACAAGGGTTGTGTTTTGGGGGGCAACTGTTCTCTGTGGTGGGACCCTTCTTGGAGCCCTGGGGTTTAAGATACAAGATGCCAAGTGCATTTTGGCTGCCCCAGCCAGTGGTGCCACCTTCCTCTAGATACCCAGGTGGAGGGTTTCCAACCAGAGGAGCCCCCAGACAGCACCAGCAGCCTCGCTGAGTGCCACAGAGTTGTGGAGCTCCTGGGGAGCCACAGGGCGGGCAGAGACCCTGAGGTTTAAGCCTCATTCAGCCTCATCCCTGTATTTTTCTCCTTTGCATGTGTGTGTGGCTACAGGTTAATTCCTACAATGACAACGGCGTCCTGATGGGGAACTGGTCAGGGAATTACAACAACGGGACCTCCCCTATGGATTGGATTGGGAGCGTCTCAATTTTGCAGAAGTACTACAAAACGAAGAAGCCAGTCCGTTACGGTCAATGTTGGGTATTCTCAGGAGTTCTCACTACAGGTAAACAGTGAACTGTCTCCCTTCTCTGACATCCTAATTACTGTGCTAGTAAGCCAAATTACCGTGCCTCTGAGCGCCAGAGGTGGCAGGGTCTCTGTCATGGCAGGGTCTGTCATGTCAGGAGAGACTGAGGGAGCTGGGACTGCTCAGCCTGGAGAAGAGAGGGGCTCAGGGGGTCTTATCCACATGTATAAATACCCGACAGGAGGGAGTAGGGCAAACAGAGCCAGGCTCTTTCCAGTGGTGCCCAGCGACAGGACCAGAGGTGATGGGCACAATCTGAAACACATGAGGCTCTGTCTGAACATGGAAAAAAAGCTATGAGGGTGGCAGAGCACTGGCAAAGGTTGCCCAGAGAGGTTGTGGAGTGTCCATCCTTGGAGATAATCAAAACCTGCCTGGACACAGTCTTGGGCACCTGCTTTAGAGGACCCTGGGTAGGTAGAGGGGTCAGATGAGATGATCCTCAGAGGTGCCCACCAACCTGAGTGATTTTGTGACCCTGTGTTTTGGCTGTCCCCTGCAGTCATGCGGTGCTTGGGGATCCCATCCCGCTGCGTGAGTAACTTCAACTCAGCACACGATACGGAGGAGAACCTGAGAATTGACATTTACCTGAATGAAGTTGGAGAAAAGGTGGACGGGATATCCTTGGACTCCATCTGGTACTGCCAAGGCGGAGCTAATGCTTCCTACTCCCCCGTCCCACCCCACAGCTACATGTCTCCCAGCCCCAGCAGCCTTTCCTTTGAGAATTTTCTTCCTGCTTCGGGTTTGCTGCCCGGGAGAGGGACAAAGCCTAGGGTTTCACAGGGTTACACATAAATCCCCATTAAACCTGCCCTTACTTAAGGACTGAGAGAGGAGATTGTGGCTCTTCTGGCTGTGACAGCTCATTCATTTTGTTTCCATCCCAAATGTACAGGAACTTCCACGTGTGGAACGATGTCTGGATGAAGCGGAAGGACCTGCCGGCAGGGTTTGATGGCTGGCAGGCAATTGATGCAACCCCTCAGGAGGAAAGTGAAGGTAGGATTTGCCTGGAAAGGCTCTTCTGCAACTCCCAAGGGAGGCAGGGGTGTTTCATATGAAAACCATGGTAGCCAGTCAGCAAAGCATGTACTCCCCATGCACATCTTCACACACTTGGGCAATGATGTCCTAAAGCCGGAGGTCTCACTCGTGGCATCTCAGCCCGGGACAGGAGGGACAGCGTTTCTCAGCAGGCAAAAAACCAACCTTGTAGGACAGTATGAGGACATGAATGCCATTTCAGAGGTTAGAGCACACAGCTGGAAATCAGAGCTAATTTCTCTTTCCACCATCCTCTGATTTCTTTGGTGAAGTTGAAGACTCAAAGCAGTCTGTGGTAAGAGGTGCCACAGCTTTCTCCAGTAAAGACGCTTTCTGTAGAGCTTTCCTGAGGAAGTCATGAGTCCATTCATTGGTAAATGAGAGGAGTGACTACCAAAATCAGTGACTACTCTTCCTGCACAGATGCAAGGAATCTGGAGGGGTGAAAGAAAACATTAGTCCTCAAGGCTGTGCAGAAAGTGGGGTATTGCCAAGGAGATCAAACACAGGTGGCTGGACTTAGTTGACTCCACCACCAAGCCATAACTTTCAAACCTTAAAATTATTTAAGTGAGGGGAAACACACAAAAACTCTTAGAAGACCTTGGTCATCTATAAAAAAGTCCAAACAACTATGGGATAAATGGGGGCTTTTGGAGTTCATCACTGAGTTGGAGGAATATATACTACTAAGAGTCAACTACCATGGCCACAGATTCCTGCTTGGGTGGGCCTAAGAGTGGAACAAAAATTGGAGGCTCTGCCCGTATTTGGAAAAGCAAATGATGTTGAATGTGCTTTCTAGGTATTTTCCAGTGTGGTCCATGCCCACTGAAGGCTATCCGAGAAGGGGAGGTGTATTTGCCCTTCGACAGCAAGTTTGTGTACGCAGAAGTGAATGCTGACAAAGTCTACTGGGTTGTCAAGAAGGTGAACGGCAAGGATAAGTACATCAAGGTTAACACGGAGACCCAAGGCGTTGGCGTGAACATAAGCACAAAAGCCGTGGGGCAGAACACGCGGGAAGACATCACTGCACAGTACAAGTTCCCTGAAGGTGACTGCCCCCATCCTCTAAAGTAGTGTCAGAGACCCCTGGCCATGTAGGTCACCCCGCAACATGTGTTTTCTCCAGGAGCAAGTCACAGGGGTAGCTGTAGTAGCCAACCCCACGTAAGGCCTGGAGACCTGGGGGAGGCAGCGCTGCTCCTGGGCATCTTCATGCCCACAGTCACACCTATAGGCTGCTCTTTAGGGACGGGTGTGAGCAAGCTTGCAGGCAGTGAAAGAAATGGGCTGAGTGACCAACCTAGTGGTCGGACTCACCATTGCTTCATTTCTTCATTCTTTCTGTCTTTCCATTCCCCAGACCATGGGGAAATTTGTTGTATTGGAAACAACAACAAAAAAAAAACCCCACAGTCCCTCCCCACAGTTCTCAGATCCAGCCATGTTGTGCTAGACTGTTAAAACCTTCCCAGTGAGGAGCGGGAAAATCTTAGGCTGAAAAATTTAAGAGCATCCATCCCCTAAATGCATCTCCTTCAGGAAATTTTTACAGTCCCATATGCTACAGTTAGAATCATAGACTCATTTAGGTTGGAAAAGACCTTTAAGATCATTGAGTTCAACTGTTAATCTAACACTGCCAAGTCCACCACTAAACCATGTCCCTAAGCACCATGTCTACCCGTCTTTTAAACACCTCCAGGGATCGGGACTCCACCACTTTCCTGGACAGCCCGTTCCAGTGCTTGACAGCTCTGTCAGTGAAACAAAAACTCTTAGAAGACCTTGGTCATCTATAAAAAAGTCCAAACAACTATGGGATAAATGGGGGCTTTTGGAGTTCATCACTGAGTTGGAGGAATATATACTACTAAGAGTCAACTACCATGGCCACAGATTCCTGCTTGGGTGGGCCTAAGAGTGGAACAAAAATTGGAGGCTCTGCCCGTATTTGGAAAAGCAAATGATGTTGAATGTGCTTTCTAGGTATTTTCCAGTGTGGTCCATGCCCACTGAAGGCTATCCGAGAAGGGGAGGTGTATTTGCCCTTCGACAGCAAGTTTGTGTACGCAGAAGTGAATGCTGACAAAGTCTACTGGGTTGTCAAGAAGGTGAACGGCAAGGATAAGTACATCAAGGTTAACACGGAGACCCAAGGCGTTGGTGTGAACATAAGCACAAAAGCCGTGGGGCAGAACACGCGGGAAGACATCACTGCACAGTACAAGTTCCCTGAAGGTGACTGCCCCCATCCTCTAAAGTAGTGTCAGAGACCCCTGGCCATGTAGGTCACCCCGCAACATGTGTTTTCTCCAGGAGCAAGTCACAGGGGTAGCTGTAGTAGCCAACCCCACGTAAGGCCTGGAGACCTGGGGGAGGCAGCGCTGCTCCTGGGCATCTTCATGCCCACAGTCACACCTATAGGCTGCTCTTTAGGGACGGGTGTGAGCAAGCTTGCAGGCAGTGAAAGAAATGGGCTGAGTGACCAACCTAGTGGTCGGACTCACCATTGCTTCATTTCTTCATTCTTTCTGTCTTTCCATTCCCCAGACCATGGGGAAATTTGTTGTATTGGAAACAACAACAAAAAAAAAACCCCACAGTCCCTCCCCACAGTTCTCAGATCCAGCCATGTTGTGCTAGACTGTTAAAACCTTCCCAGTGAGGAGCGGGAAAATCTTAGGCTGAAAAATTTAAGAGCATCCATCCCCTAAATGCATCTCCTTCAGGAAATTTTTACAGTCCCATATGCTACAGTTAGAATCATAGACTCATTTAGGTTGGAAAAGACCTTTAAGATCATTGAGTTCAACTGTTAATCTAACACTGCCAAGTCCACCACTAAACCATGTCCCTAAGCACCATGTCTACCCGTCTTTTAAACACCTCCAGGGATCGGGACTCCACCACTTTCCTGGACAGCCCGTTCCAGTGCTTGACAGCTCTGTCAGTGAAGAAATTTTTCCTAATATCCAATCTAAACCTCCTGTGGCACCATTTGAGGCCATTTCCTCTCATCCTATCGCTGGTTACTTGGGACAAGAGACTGATACCCGCCTCGGTACAACCTCCTTTCAGGCAGTTGTAGAGGGCGATAAGGTCTCCCCTCAGCCTCCTTTTCTCCAGGCTGAACAACCCAGTTCCCTCAGCTGCTCCTCATAAGACTTGTTCTCAGTTAGATCCCATAGTAGTGTAAACCAAGAGGGTCTCCTGAGCAGAGGCTGCAGATGCCCTGACATCCTCCCTGCCCAGCAGCAGAAGCATAAATTAAGGGAAGGTGGGTCTGGGTGAGGAGACTGAGATACAGCTATCACCCATCTTTTTTCTTCATCCAGGCTCCAAAGAGGAAAGGAAGGCCATGCAGAATGCTTCCTCCTTCCTACACGCGAGAATAAGACCCCGTGCACTCTTCTTTTCGTCTGTGGCCACGGATGATGTGGACTCCAGGCCTGCGGTCTCATGTGAGAAGGTCTCCAAGACTGGGCTCCAGCTTGAGATAACCAATAAAGCTTTGTATCCTGGCAATCCCCTTGAACTGGCCATCACAGTGAAGACCTCTACTCCTGGCAGCTGGACCATCAATCTGGCCAGCTCCTGCCAGCTGCAGTCCTATACTGGGAAAGTTGAGGGCAGCCTTGGATGTGTCAAGGAGACCATCAAGCTTGAAGGCAAATCTGGTAGGCACGGAAGGCTTACTGTGTTCTATGGGCTATTTACTGTGGCAGTCTGGGGTTTCACTCGATCTGGTGCCCAATAGCTCTGCTGTAGGTCCATGCATGTCTCTGTATGGCACGAAGAGCAGAAGTTGCCTGCCTGCTCCCTACCTCTCTTCTTACTGTGTTTGGGAGTCTCAGTTACAGACTGGGATCCTATCATAGCTGGGACCAAGACGTGAAGGCCCTGTCCCTGCTGCAGTTTCAACGAGATGGTTAGAAATACATCCATGTGGGCAGATGTTTTCACGGTGCAAGCGAGGTGTGCTGGAGCATCTCCCTCCCATCCTCACCATGTAAGCATCAAAGATGCCACCACAGGCTTCAGGTGCATCCATCTGGGTGAGCTCACTTACAGGATTTAGATGGCTGGAAATTTCAGCCTTTTTTGTTGTGCTTGCCACTGATCAGCTGGTGGTGATGCTGGTGAGTGTTCTTTTCTAAATTCTTCACCCAAGCAAATTTCAACCTCATGACTTCCTGCCTGGCTGATCCCAAGATCTGTTTGCTGTTCAGTGCCTATTTTTGAGTGAACTGGGTTGCCTTGCTGATCCCCAGCAATGTGATTGAAATGTGCTAAACAAGAGACTAACAAGCGATGAATAATTAACGGCACTTGCTCATTCCAAGTGTGAGTCACTCTCGCAAAAGAAAAATATACCTTTGCTGCTGGTGATTGCTGAGCGTTTTCACACGTATACCGTGGCTGTCAAAATGCAGCAGGGTAGGATACAGAGGTAGCTACATACATTTAGAAATAAGGACAGGTTGGTTGGGGTTGTTTTTTTTTTTTGATTCCCAGAAGCCAGGAAGCCTTGCGGCTAAAGCAATGTTCAGGCTCCAGCACTGCTGACTCCAGGGCTTTTCTGAGCCACTGGAAGTTTGTCCAGGCAATTAAAGATAAAATCTGAAGTGAAAGGAAAGCCACTAATTTTGTAGCAAGCAGTGCCCCAGAGAAACCCCAGGAGACACAGGCTTAAACGTACCCAACCTCATGCTCCTCTGCCTCCTCCTGAGTGCTGGGGCAGATGGGGATGAGGGCTGACGAGATGCTGGATGTGAGCCCCGGCCAGCACTCGGCTTGGTGGGGAGATGGTGTGGGCTCAGCTGCCCTTCCCATGGGATATATGTGCTGGGTACCACTCGCCCAGCCAGGGCTTTACCCCAAGGGGCCCTTGGGTCAGGCCAAAAGCAGGATGATCTCAGAAAACACGCCTCATCCCACACCCTGGGGCATTGGCCACCTGAGCTGACTTTGCCACCCATTTCCTGGGCGTGTGATGAAGCACCGAGTTGTGTTTTCTGTTCTGCAGAAATGCAGGTGCCTCTGAAAATTGCGGCCGATGCGTACATGAAGATGCTGGCCTCGGTGGAAGACGAAGCACTCATCCACGTCACTGCCATTGCTGAGGTCCAGGGGACAGATGACAAACTCACCAAGGAGACGACCATGAGCTTTGAGTACCCCCCCATCACCATCCAGGTGAGGCAGCCTCCAGCCCAGCTCCTCGGGGGGTGAGGGTTAAAGCCCTGCTCACCGTAACACCAAGGCAGTGGTAGCATTCCCAGGGGGATCTCCCGAACAGCTGCCTTCTGGGATGCTCAGTCCCCGACGTTGTATTTGACGATTCAACCTTTATTTGAAGGTTGAAAGCAGCCATGAAATGAAGAGGGGGGTTTTTATTGTTTTTATTGCCCCATCTAAAATGGGCAGGCAGGGGCTGCTGGAGGGAAAGGGATGGAAGAGGCCAGTTTGTACGGGGCCCATCTCCGACTCCACAGCTCTACCTTCTCCAGGAAAAACCTGTTGAGAAACCAGAGAGAAGAGTTGGGAAAACAGCCGGCCGGGCAGAGCACACGGTGCTGTGGGAGGGTAGAAAGGATATGGGGGGTTGTCCCCCACCATGCTGGTGGTGAGGAGCAAACCTGCAGCAGCTCCGGCACATCTTTATTACCCCTCTGATCCCCGGTATTTGGGTTTGTTTCTCTCTTTCCTCCTCTGCCAGATGCCAGAAACAGCCAAACTGAACAAGGAGTTTGCCTGTGCCTTCATCTTCAAGAACAATCTGAACATGCCTCTGAACAACTGCAAGCTGCTGGTGGAAGGCCTGGGCATGTTTAAGATGACAGAGTTTGATGAGGGGTAAGGAGATGAGCCCAGCATGCAATGAGCGTGGCAGGACTCTGCTTTGTTTCTGTGTTGTTTTAATTTCCCTTAAGGAAGTGGTTAGGGGATTTGGAGTAACAGGGCCCTTTGCAAGCTATGTTCGAAACCGTGCCACGTTTGGGTGCAGTCCATGCAGCAGAAAGACCCACGCAAAGGTTGGCATGCTCAGGGCATTTGGGCACGACAGGGGCTCTCCCCGCACTCCTGCTGTGATACCAGGTGCTGCCCGGCCAGCGTGAGCACAGCTGCTTCCCGCAGAGACGAATACAGCGCTTCAGCAGTATGGGGAAGTCTAGGCAAGGTCCCCAGGATCACCAGGACCACCAGCCCGTGCCATCATGCTGAGCCCTGCTTGCTGCAGTCACAGAAGGCGGCAGTCATCCACTCTAAACCCATGCCGTGGCTATTTCTTTAAGCAAAATGTTTCAAAAGCAGCAAATAAGAACCGTAACTCATGCTGGGACTATTTGTTTTTTCTCTCTCCTTAGGGATGTAGAGCCTGGTAAGATCATTAAGTCTGAAGTAATATGCACTCCGATCAGACCTGGAGAGAAGAAAATGGTGGCCAAGCTGACCTCGACCCAGATCAAAGCGATCTCTGTGGAGAAGACCATCACCATCACCGAGTAGGATCGGTGCCTCGGTGCAGCGTAAGCGGCGGCCTCACTAAACGCGTAGCACCGCTGCGTATCTCAGGCACTTCTTGCCTCCCTTGCTGGCTGGATAGTAATCTCAAAGTAAAGCGCAAAATCTCATTAAGCTAAGGGAATTAAACTGACTTACAGGGCATGGGTGTGTTGATTGCAGTTAATTGTGATTCAATAAAGGTTGTTAAAATCGATTTGCGTGATGGGTTGTATGGTATTGCCGGGTTAGGGTGGCTCTGAGACCGTGGGGGGATGTCCCCACCTCAGGCCAGGGATGGGAGCTGACGAAGATGCTGGCTTCAGCTGGCAGTGGGTATGAGCCCCGGGGGTGTTTTGAGCTGCTTGGCTGCCCCGGGCTGCGGTCCCACATGGGAGGCCACCCACGGACCCCACCGCGCCACAGCTCAAGAAAATTTTAAACAAATCTCTCCTGGGCGATTCCCTCTTTCTCCCAGCTAGCCAGCTGGGGAACGTACTGCCGTACATCTCTTTTTGCCTCCAGACAACAAAAAGAGCAAACCTGGCACAGCCTCCCCAAACACCATTTTTCATACATCTTCCTTTCCTCCCACCCCCCTTTCTTTCGGGGTTTTCAGGCATTTTCCAAAGAAATACCATCTCCAGCACTGTTACTAGTGCTTCCCTGGAAACGTATAACCACTATCCTTCCCCTTCCACCCTGAATGCTGCTGGATTGGACCTTGACGGTGACGTAGGCCTGGAGCTCTTCCAGCTGTAGTCACATTGAAGGAGACAACAGCTGTGCACAGCTGGAGCCCACCAAGCCCCTCCCACTGATCCCCACTCCCCAGCGCCTCCCCAGCCCACCGGCAGCCAGGGAGGGCTCTGCTCCACAGCATCACCACCACACAACGTGACCAGCAGCAGTCGGGCACTGGGGGTTCCACCATTTCTGCCAGGGAAGACGAAATTGAGCCACACAATAGCATAGGGGTTTATTTGATCTGTTAAAAGGCAAATGCTCAAGAATTAGGGCTGCAGAGCAGAAAAAAAGAAGTGGTGACTACATCTCAGTATGTGTCAGCCCATAAAAAGGGAGAGAGGAAAAAAGGGGGGGGGAAAAGGGTTTGCCCGCTCCCTTGTGTTTCAAACGTTTAGGGAACCCCCAGAGAAGCACCCAGGCAGTGGCTGGGGCACAAAAGGCTGTCAGGCTCCCCCACCCAGCACTACCACCCCTCTGCCCACGGTGTCCCAGTGCCCCACAGGGTCCCTGCAAGGGTTACAAAAATGAGAGGTGCTGGAGCACCTCTCTTATGAGGACAGGCTGAGAGAGTTGGGGCTGTTCAGCCTGGAGAGGAGAAGGCTGTAGGGAGACCTGATTGCGGCCTTTCAGTACGTAAAGGGGGCCTATAGGAAGGATGGGGAAAATCTTTTTAGTAGGGCCAGCTGTGACAGGACAAGGGGTAATGCTTTTAAACTAAAACAGGGTAGGTTTAGACTGGATGTAAGGAGGAAATTCTTTACAATGAGGGTGGTGAAACACTGGAACAGGTTGCCTAGAGAGGTGGTGGAGGCCCCATCCCTGGAAACATTCAAGGTCAGGGTGGATGGGGCTCTGAGCAACCTGATCTGGTTAGCGGTGTCCCTGCTCGCTGCAGGGGGGTTGGGCTAGATGACCTCTAAAGGTCCCTTCCAACCCCAAACATTCTATGATTCTACAAAGGCCACGGCCCACGGCGGCAGGACCGGGAGCAGGAGCCCCTCTCCCGAGGCAGAGCAGGCACAGGGTCCATGCACAGCGACCGCAGGGAAGGGAGGAGCAGGCGGTCCTTGGCGGATGAAGTATTAGTTCTTTAATAAGTACAACAGTGACCAGAGGCATAAAAAGGAGTTACAAACAGCAAAATAGATATATTTTCAAGAGATGTAAATTCTTTACTTGCATAGAAAACCTGCTGTCAGAGACACCAGATAAGAAGTAGTACGAGAACGCTTTCCACGTTTGTCACGACCTTGTCCATCATGTATCAACACCTCACGCTGCGGGAGCGACGGGGTCTCCAGCAGATTGCAGAAGAGCGAGTGCTCTTGAGGAGTGCCTGGCCAGCCGGCCAGGACCACTGCAGCATGGCCTGAAGATGAAGGCACCATTTAACAAGGGGCAAGGAGCGCAATGGAGGGAAGGGAAAGAAAATGGTGGGTTTGGTTTCAATTTCCTGAAAATCACATTTGGTCTCAAGCCACCAGGTAGTCGTTAAAGAAGGACGTTTATGCCAGTGCTGTCAATAAAACAGATTTTTCCAACTTGTGAAGACTTTGCCATTTCTGACGGTTGCCACACTATACCGAGACAGAGAGGAGATACACTGAGGAGTACTGGAACTTCAAGGCTGGGAGGAAGAGGAAGGGGATGAGAGAGACCAACAGCCAAGAGACATCAGAACAATCAATTTGCTGGATGTAGGCAGTCACCCCACCAGGTCTTGGGGGGCACCAGAGACGGAGCTGGGCTGGCTGCCCACAGCTCTGCACAGGGCACAGGGACACGAGCTGGTCTCTCACTCGGACTATAACTGCACTGTGGGAGGAGGAGAGATGGCTATTCTGGCCCTCACCCCTCTCTTCACTGCTTTTCCATTACAGATATTAAAAAAAAAAAACAACCAAACAAATGCTAGAAATGCCAGCACCTGAAGAACACCACAAGGTGTGGGAAACAGAAGCAAAGGACGCCTGTCCTCATCATGAGGTGAACCAGGTTTGACAGCAGATAAGGAAATACGCTGCCTCTGCCCATGCCTACCCAAAGCCACATAAGTGGGGTCCGTGTCCCAAGAAGCATCACCAAAATGCAGTGCAAGGGGGTCTTGTCCAAGCTGACGTCCCCGTGCACTTGCCTGAAGGCGATTTTCAACCATCAGCTAGTTTCTCCCCCCCGGACCCCAGTAGCACCATTCCCGCTCTGCAGGCTCGGCACTGGAGGCAGGGACGTTAACTGGATGCAGAGGCGGAGCAGCAAGCCAAAATTAGAAAAGATGAGCTAAAAAGGGTACCCCTACTTTTCCTCCTTCAACATCCCTATTGCTCCCTGTAGGAAATCCCTTATAGATCCCATCAGATCCCTGATGTCCCTGTCCTGTGGGATGCTGACAGAGAGGAACGTAGGCTGGCGCAGGAGCAGAACAGCTTCTTCCCTTGCTATCTCATTGCTCCATTGACGTTCAAGACCTCGCGTCTAAACGACGTGAGAAGACACCTCAACTCCCTCCAAATGCAGGGTGTTTCCCTTTAAGAAAAAGGGGTTTTATAAATACACGGGTCCCGATGATTTTTTTTCTAAATTTATTTTCCGCTGAAAGAGAGGAGACACCCAGAGGGGATAGGGGATGGGACGACTGTTTAGAAATACCCCCTGGGTTTTAGCCAAGCTGTGCTCCTAACAGTCACGACACTCAGTTTATTCCCAGACCCTTTGCCAGAAAAAAAGGGACTGCTGTGGCAGAGGACAAGTCCAGGAAAAAATCTCATCCCTCTACAGTAGCCCTGAGCATCACACTATTAATACATATTAAGATACTTTTTTTAGGGGGGGGAAGACAAAAAAATCTTGCACAAATTCCATTTGGTATTGCTTCTATAAATAACAACTTCACAGCTTCACCTAGGTCTCTCACAATACCATGCTTTCATCCCCAAAACTCAAAAGTAAGAGGAAGGGATTCTCTTTGGTCCACATTACAGGGGAGGGGGAGATGAAGTCAAGCATGTCCTGTGGGGGAAAACCAGGAGCACCTCTCTAATATCCCCCAAATTTTACTGACAATTAAGCTAAGGGAGACGACAAGAAGAAAATAAACCAATTGAAAGACAGCCTAAATTAATACTACCCTAACTGAGGTCTGGCGCATGCCAAGGGTCTGTGGGGCGTCCGAATGCAGCAGCTGGCGTCACCTCTGCAAGACTTTGCTGCAACCACTTCCACCAGCAGTGACGCCTTCCTTGAGCGATGCCCGTTCCTTCTGCGCATTCACCAACATCCACCAGGAGCTGGCTGCGAAATCAAGTGTAACAAACCCCTGCCTAATGGCAAGCACTAACTAAGGGCAATGTTAAACACCAGTAAGATTAAGAGGCAGTATTAATTCTCAGCTAACTCTGGCTATCAAAGGGAGGGGGGGAAAGGGGGGGGTGAGAAAAAGAGACACATGTAAATTAGACAAGTCAAATGGAAAGAGCCAGTACCTCCATCAGCAGGGTGCTCGTGCCTCCCTCTTTTTTGCCTGCAGACACAGCCCCGGTGCCTGGCCTACAGCCGCTTTTTGGGCTGCAGAGTCCGGCCAGGTGGCTCCTGCTCCACACGTCCTACATGCTAACAAACCGCAGCCCCCGGGCGAAAGCTTCCCCCCACCAGCAGCCCGGCAACCCGGCCAGCCTTTGTCTCTTCTTGGCT